CCCCAAAACCCCAAAACCCCTCAAAGTAGTAATATTAAGATAAAAATAATCTATCAAAACTTTTAAAAAAATCAAAGATTATAAAATCAATAATTAAAGAGAGGATTATATTTTATTAAGCCTAATTTACTTCATTATAAAGACAGATTTCCTCATTACCTTTCCAATTCAATGTCTTCAATTATAGACTTTAATTATTCCTTAGGAATTGATATAGTGATTATCTGATTTTAATCAAGGCCAATAGCTTCATTACTGCTTTGGTGTTCTTTTTAGACTTATATGTCCATAAATTTCTAATTCAAGTTTTACTTGCTAGTGTTGTCGAGTTCTTGATAGTACTAGGAATTAGTGATCAGGTCAATGGCCAAATGTTAACTCTCATTGAATTTGTTCTTGTCCATTATTAGGTCTACGTTCTATTTCAGTATAGACTTTCTCCTGGCAGTGCGTCCTTCATACTTGTCAAATCTCAGGACAGTTGAGGGAATCTTAATATCCTGGGTATTCTTTAGGTTTTTCAGTATTCTCTATTCCTGTCTATTTGTATTCTGCAACTTGCTGATCATTAGCTACTCCTACTGCTCAAGCAGTCTCATTCTCTACTCGTAAAGGCTTGCTTCCTAGCGTGTGCTATCTATCTTTTAAAAATAAGACCTCTCTACTTAAGAAGTCGAGGAGGTCCTCATTTCATTGCGCTGTTTATGCGCATTAACATCTCCTTGTTTGAACTGTTGGTATATGCTATGATTTTGCTCAAATAACTCCGATTTGTTCTTTTGAATGGTTTCTTAAATGCGGCGGGTTTATTCATTAATTTAGCTTCTATTCTACTGATTATGAATCATGCGTGACTTCATATTGTCCATAATCTTAGTTTTTATGATTTCGCGTGTTTGGCTGTTTTGTCTTCTCGTTTCCTCTTCAACTGCCTTTAAATAGTGCTAATGACTCATCTTCCTATGATTCCACTCACTTTTTTCTTTTTAAACCTTCAACACAAATTACTACTCTTTCTTTGTCTCTTATATCCTTTTCAACGCTTTTTACTCTTCCAGTTTAAGTTTAGTTATCCTAGCCTCTAATTACAGCATCTGCTGCTTCTTGAGTTCCTTTTCTTACTTCATTTGTAACATTAGAATGCCCTTGTCTATTTTATCATTGGTGTTCATCCCATTCTACTGTATAGAATGTCTTTGAGAGGCAAAGGTAGATGCAAATTTATCATCTTAGCGGTAAGGGGTAAAGTGATTCTAATCAAAACTTTAAGATATGCTTCTATTTGAAGTAGTGATTCTGAAGTCAAAGCTTCTGTTGAAAGAGGACACTCGGGTTTTAGAACCAGGGCTTTGATTGTTTTGATATGGATCTGATTAAATGCCTGGAGTTTCAACAAATTTACGGTTTTAAGCGAATACTATACGAGGGGATTTAGTTGATGACATTACTAATAAAATAAAATATATTTAAGAGTGATGTATGTTTATTAATCTTAAGCAAGGTCTCAAGTTTTAAGTAATGATATTAAGTATTTACAGAAAATAGTTTAGCAATACAATGAATAATCTCGTCATTAGGGGTTTTGGGGTTTTGGGGTTTTGGGGTTTTGGGG